GGGCATGCCTACTGATTTGCATCAAAATCTTTTCACAAACAGCAATAATGCTAAGTCATCCCACTAGAAAATTAATTTCACCCTATTTAATAACTAAGAAGAAATGGATGTGCTATAATGGTAACAGTATCAGAAGTGTTTGTTTCAGTGAAGCCAAAGCCAAGTTTCAGTAAAGGAAAGGAAGACTCCTGCAAGCAAATTTAATTTCAAGTTTACGTTTTCCAGTGCCATTAGTGAATTTACCAACATTCTCAGAACCCAAAGACAACGGGCAGAAAATTACTTAGACCAAGGGTCGGCAAACTAGGGCCTATGGGCTAAATCTGGGCCTGCTTTTGTAAACACAGTGTTCCTGGAACACAGTCATAGCCTCTGTCATCCATGGCTGTTTTCTCTCTATGATGGCAGAGTTCAATGGCAAAGTTGAGTAGTTGTGACAGAGATAGCGTGCTCTGTAAGACCTAAAATATTTACTATCGACCATTTAAGAAAGTTTGTCCACCTCTGCTATAGACAGTAAGCAGTTACTGGCCACTCCAGATAAATACATTCAGAAACTGTGGAGCTGGGAGCTGCCTCTCCTTCAAATCCAGGAGCCTTCAAATCTACCAAGAGTCATCTCAGTAGAACTAAAGATATTCCTATCACTCTGGAAATTCCAAAGGATTTAGGAACTTTGCCTCATGAATCAGGGTCAAAGACCAAATAGTAGAACAGAAGATCATTATGGTACTCTTATCCCTTAGAATATTACAAGGGTTTTGGGAGCTCTGTGCCAGGAACTGGGGACAGAGAACAATATATACATTTTCTATTAACTTCACAGAATCCAGTTTATATCTGTGGCTGAGGGAAGGATTCTCTGAGAACAGGACATTCAAATTGAGGCCTGAAGAATGAATAGGCATAGACCAGGTACACAGTGAGATAACATGATGTGGCTTCCAGAAGAAAGAACATTTGCAAAGGATGTGAAGTGGGAAAGATATGGGCATATCCAAGGGAAAGAAAGGAAGCCAGTGTAGCTGGACCGTCAGGAATAGAGTGGCCAACTATTCCAGTTTTCAGTGCTAAAACCGAGAAAGTCCCAGGCAACATAGGATGGCCAGTCTCCCTAACAGGAGTGACATGAATCATAACATTGGGCAAGGTTGGCCAAGTGGGAAGCAAGTAAGCAGGGCCCCTGTGGGCCCTGTGAAAGGTTTTCTATTTTGTATTCGAAACACAATAGAAAGCCACTGGAGGACTTTAAGCAAAGCAATGACAAACTCTAATTTACATTCTTTTTTTTTTTTATTTTTTTTTTTAACGTTTATTTATTTTTTTGGGACAGAGAGAGACAGAGCATGAACGGGGGAGGGGCAGAGAGAGAGGGAGACACAGAATCAGAACAGGCTCCAGGCTCTGAGCCATCAGCCCAGAGCCCGACGCGGGGCTCGAACTCACGGACCGCGAGATCGTGACCTGGCTGAAGTCGGACGCTTAACCGACTGCGCCACCCAGGCGCCCCATAATTTACATTCTTAAAAGAACATTTTGGCAGCCATTTAGAGAATGAACTAGTTGGAGGCCAGAGACTAGCCAGAGGCAGGTTTAACACACCAGGTGAGGTGACAGTTGCTTAGCCTTGGGCAATTGAGGCATTAGGTGAGTGGCCTGGGAATGGATTCTCAGAACCCATGTTAGAGATGACAATCTGAGACTTGCAAAAGTTAGAGGACTTGTCTAATGTCATACAGCCAGTGTGGGAAGCCTGGACTTGACCTTTCTTTGTATTTATCAGGCAAAAGACAAAGTTAAGAAGATACATCCAACTACATGATCCTTAGTAGGATGAAAATTTCTAAGAGAAACAAAAGGGGGAAATAGATTTTGTATTTTATAAGTGATTACGGTTTCTCCGATTGATCAATTGCAAAACTTAATTTAAGACACAAGTGAAATTCAAAATAAATAAATAAATAAATAAATAAATAAATAAATAAAGCACAAGCAAAATTCATTGTTAAAATGGTGGGATAATTTTTACCAAGTTATTCAACAAGAAAAATTTACAAAAATGTGACAATGCAAATAGCATAAGTATTGTGCTGATTCCCTCCATAAAATGAAAAATGAGGATTGTAAACAACAGGGAGGAAGAAAAGGATTAATGTGAAAGTGAGAAAATGTTACGCATTTCTGACCTTAGGAACTGAATTAATAGGATCCTATTGAAAAGCCCCCAGAAAACTTAATAGGATAGAATAAATCTTCACAATGGAAAGGTATATATACATAAAGATATATAAATTCGGGCCCATCCTTGCTTTTGCTGTATATTCTACTCAAAATGAGAAAACTAGAATTACATTTATTCCATCAGTACATTAAATGTCTTTGTCAAATGCAACTAAAATTTTCATAGGCCATTCAACTAAAAATAATTTCATACCTTCCCAAGAGAAAATTAAACAAAATAAGAATATATTAATCTAAGATTATAACTACAGACACAAAAATAGAGATAGCTGTTGTGTAATTTATCAATGTTGACATAGAACAGTGTACCTAAAGGTATGGTCTGAAATCCCACACCTCCAGGGAAAGAGCACATTTTACTGTCGCGATACCTCCCAGTCTCTGGTTTTATTTCCGTAACAATAAAAATGGAAAATCAACCTGCTCTAAAGCATTGATTGCATTTGCTGATGCTACAGCTCTCCAAGGACTATTTTTTGGAAAAGTGAAAGAGAAATACAAAATAATTTATCAGACAATTTGCATCTTACTTGGGATTCCTCAGTGGTGAAAACTGCTATGCATAGCAAATGCTGGAGCCAGGCATTTGGGTGATTGACTGAGAAACTCCCAAGCTCTCTGGGGGTAAATCTATAAGTAAATGAACACACTTCACCACACAATTATCCCCACAGGAGGCGCCTCAAACAATTTCAAGATCTTGCATCCACCTACTTAGCACATAAAATGATGTCGATTAAAGCATAAAAGTGTATCATCTCAGTAAGACTGCAGCTTTTATGACCATTACAATAACACTGGCAACATCATGTCTGCTTATTAATGATTTCACACCTGTGAAATTCAAATAGAGTAGGTTTTCTACCTTACAGCACCATATTCAGGAAAGGAGATCCTGCTGCTTTGTTATCCTTTATGCCAGTTTATTAAAAATTATTTAACAGGTCAGTACAAATGGAGAAATTATTCATGATACCCAGGAATACTTAATGCTGGCTTTTCCAGTATCTCACTGCATGACTAGAAGAATAGTTCTCAAAGAATAGTCCAGGGACCATGGGAGTCCCCAAGACCCTTTCAGGAGAGCCCAAAATCTAAACTACTTTCATAAACAGCACTAAGATCTTTTTTGTCTTTTTTACTTTGATCCTCTCATGAGTACATAGTTTTCCAGACACTATATTACATGTAATGTCATGATAAATCTAAATGAAAAGCAGATATGAGAATCCAGCTGCATTCTATTAAGCCTCTTTTTAAAAATTGTAAAGGTATAAAACAATGCCACTCTTCTCAATAAATTTTTTATTTTGAAAAATAGTCAATGTTCATAATAGGCAACAACATGGATGAAGCTTGAGGACTCATTATGCTAAGTGAAATAAACCAGTCACAGAAAGACAAATACTGTGTGATTTCATTTACATGAAGTATCTAAAATGTTTAAATTCATAGAATCAAAGCGTGGCTTCCAAGGACTGGAGGAAGGGGGAAATGGGGAGTTATTAATCAATAAACATAAAGATTTAGCTGAGCAAGATAGGTTCTAGAAATCTGCTGCGGAACAGTGTACCTATAACTGACAGTGTACTATAGTTCACTAAAAAAATCTAAGAGGGTAGGGGCGTCTGGGTGGCTCAGTTGGTTAAGGGTCCGAGTCTTGGTTTTGGTTTGGGTCATGATCTCATGATTTTGTGGGTTCGAGCCCCACCTCGGGCTTTGAGCTGACAGCATGGAACCTGCTTGGGATTCTCTGTCTCTGTCTCTGTCTGCCCCTCCCCTGCTTGCATTGTCTCTATTTCTTTCAAAATAAATAAATAAACTTAAAAGTTTTTTTAAAAAATCTAACAGATTTTTATGTTAATTCTTCTTAGATTTCATGTTAATTCTTCTTACCACAATGAAATAAAAGTTTAAAAAATTAAAATAAAAAACTAGCTGCCCTGTCGGGGTGCCCCCTGAGAGGAGTGCCCTAGGACCATGCCCCCCCACCCCAGTTTACATCCACTTCAGCTTAAGCTATTCTGCCAAGGTGACCTCTATGCATAAAGCCCTGGGACCCCATGGCTTGCACTCACTTCATTTATCTTGCCAGAGTGCCTTCACTGATTAGAACCCTGGGCTTCCCCTGACCTGTACCCACATCAGCTTTAGCTACCCTGCCAAGGTATTCTCAGTGCATAGGACCACGGGACCCCCTCCTCCAATCTACACTCACTTCAGCTTTAGGTATCCTTCCAGGGTACCCCCTGCATGGAGAGTCTCGAGACACCCCCAGCTCACACCAGCCAGCAAAAGTCACCATGCATGCATAGTCTTTTTTTTTTTAAGTTTATTTATTTTGAGAGAGAGTGTGTGCATGCATGAGTTGGGGAGGAGCAGAGAGAGGGAGAGAGAGAATCCCAAGCAGGCTCTGTGTTGTCAGCACAGAACCTGGTGTGGGGCTTGAACTCATGAACTGCAAGATCATGACTGGAGGTGAAATCAAGAGTTGGGTAGTTAACCAACTGAGTCCCCCAGGTGCCCTGCACACATGTTCTATATAGGGGACACCATACATGAGACCATTTCTCCAAGTTTAGAAGTAATTGTTCCACCTAATCTATAGAAACAAATAGAAAGTAAAGCAAAATGGGGACACAAAGGAATATGCTCCAAAACAAAGTCCAAGACAAAACCTCAGAAAAATAACTAAACAAAACAGAGATAAGCAATATACCTGATAAAAAATTTTAAGTAATGATCATAAAGATACTCACCAGACTGGGAAAAAGAATGGAAGAACTCAGTGAGACCTTCAATAAAGAGACAGAAAATATGAAAAAGAACCAATCAGAGCTGAAAAATACCATGACTGAAATAAAAAAAACACACTTGAGGGAATGAACCAGTAGATTAGCAAATGCAGAAGAACATATCAGCAATCTGGAAAACAGGGTAATGGAAAGCACCCAAGCTGAAAGCAAAAAAAGAGAAAAGAAACTAGAAAATGAGGATAGGTTAAGGGATCTCTTGGACAACATCAAGGAAACAAACATTCCATTTTATGGGTCCCAAAAGAAGACAGAGTGAAAGGGGCAGAAATCTTATTTGAAGAAATCATAGCTGAAACTTCCACAACCTAGGAAAGGAAACAGACATCCAGGTTCAAAAAGCATAGAGAGTTCCAAATAAGATGACCCCAATGAGGTCCACACCATGACATATAATAACTAAAATGTCAAAGGTTAAAGATCAAGAGAGATTTTAAAAGCAGAGGGAAACAAAACTTTCATCAAGGGATACCCTAAAAGTCTATCAGCTGATTTTCCAGCAGAAACTTTGCAGGCCAGCAAGGAGCAGCATGATATATTCAAAGTGCTGAAAGAATAACACCTATAACCAAGAATATTCTACCTGGCAAGGTTATAATTCAGAATTGAAGGAGAAACAAAGAGTTTCCCAGACCAAAAAAAAAAAAAAAATCTAAAGAAGTTTATCACTACTAAACCAGCCTTATAAGAACTGTTAAAGGGACTTCTTTAAATGGAAAAGAAATGGCCATAATTAGACATAAGAAAATCATGAGTAAAAGATGTAAAATATGACAGCATACACATAAAATGTGGAGGAGGGAGTTAAAGTTTTTTGTTAGAATGTGTTTAAACTTAAATAACCATCAACTTAATATAGACTACTATATACTTAGGATGTTATACATGAACCTCATGGTAACCACAAACCCAAAACTTAAAATGGATACAAAAAAAATAAAGAGAAGAAAGCCAAACATTACACTACAGAAACTCACCAATCACAAAGAAAGCAAGAGAAGAAGAAAGGAACAGAGAAGAACTATAGAAACAACCAGAAAACAATGAACAAAATGGCAGTAAGTACATACCTATCATAATTACTTTATTTTTTTAAAAATTTTTTAAATGTTTTATTTATTTTTGAGATAGAGAGAGACAGAGCATGAGCAGGGGAGGGGCAGAGAGAGAGGGAGACACAGAATCTAAAGCGGGCTCCAGGCTCTAAGCTGTCAGCACAGAGCCTGACACAGGGCTTGAACTCACGGACCGCGAGATCATGACCTGAGCCAAAGTTGGACACTTAACCGACTGAGCCACCCAGGCGCCCCTATCATAATTACTTTAAATGTAAATGGGTTAACTGCTCTAATCAAAAGACATAGGGTGGTAGAATGGATAAAAAACAAGACCCATCTATATTCTGCCTACAAGAGACTCACCTCAGGACTAAAGACCCATACTGACTAAAAATGAAGGAATGAAAAAACATTTACCATGCAAATGGAAACAAAAAGCCAGGGTAGCAATACTTAGATCAGACAAAATAAAAAACAAAGACTGTAACAAGGGACAAAAAAGGGCATTACATAATGATAAAGGAATCAATTCAACAAAAGGATATAACAATTGTAAATATCTATGCACCCAGCACTGGAGCACCTAAATATATCAAGCAAATAAATACTAATGACATACAGAGAAAAACTGATGGTAACACAATAATAGTAGGGAACTTTAACACCCCACATCTAGGCAGAAAATCAATAGGTAAACAGTGTCTTTAAATGACACACTAAATCAGATGGTCATAACAGACATATACATAGGACATTTCATCCAAAAACAATAATACATATTCTTTTCAAGTGCAAATAGAACACTCACCAGAATAGATTACATGTTAGGCCACAAAACAAGTCTCAATACATTTTTAAAAAGTGAAATCATACCATGCATCTTTTGTGACCACAACAGTATGAAACCAGAAATCATTTAGGAGAAAAAAACTGCAACAAACATAACATAAGCACGTGGAGGCTAAACAACCAACGAGTCAATGAGGGAAAAAAAAAAAAAAATATATTTAAATATATATAATATAATTTTATATTATATATATATATTATATATTATATATATAATATATATATATTATATATATATATATATATATAATATATATATATATATATAAGCAAATGAAAATAAAAACACATGGTCCAAAATCTTTGGGACACAGCAAAAGCAGTTCTAAGAGGGAAATATGTAGTGACAGAAGCCTACCTCAAAAACAAGAAAAAGCTCAAATAAGCAACCTAACCTTCCATCTAAAGGGACTAGGAAAAAAAAAAAAACAAAACCAAAGGTGAATAGAAGGAAGGAAATAATAACAATCAGAGCAGAAATAAAAGACATAGAGACTAAAAACACAACAAAAAAAAAAATCAATGAAACCAAGAGCTGGTTCTTTGTAAAGATAAACAAAATTAAGACATCCTAAGCTGGACTCATCAAGCGCAAAAGAGAAAAGACTCAAAATCAGAAATGGAGGGGGAGAAGTAACAACTGACACCCCAGAAATACAAAGGATTATAAGAGACTCCTACAAAATAATAATAATAATAATAATAATAAAAACAGTAAAAACACTAATAAATAAGCAAACAGATAAAATTAAGAACTCAGAAATGAAGAAGCTATGGTAAAAAAAAAAGTTTGATAGGTTCATTGAGGCCCTTAGTTCAGGTTAAAATTCCAAGACAATCTCCCTATTTAAAGAATAAAGATCTCTGGGAATTATGGTTTTAGAACAAAATGTAATCAATATAAAATTACAAACTTTAACAATGTAAAAACAAAATATAATTAGAATTGGGAGGTAAGGGAAGTCACCCTGGAAAAGCCCTAATGTTTTGACTTACCAGGAAGAGCAGGAATTCAATAAATATTATCTAAAGTGACACACATAGGGGTGCCTGGGTGGCTCAGTTGGTTAAGCATCCGACTTTGGTCCAGGTCATGAACTCGCAAGTCGGGTTCTGTGCTGACAGCTCAGAGCCTGCAGCCTGCTTCAGATTCTGTGTCTCCCTGTCTCTGTACCCTCTGCTCACTTGCCCTCTATCTCTCTCTCAAAAATAAATAAAAACAAACAAAAAATAAAAACAAAATAAAGTGACATACATAGCTAGCAAATACCATTAATGACTCTAGCCTTCACACATTTTTATGATCATTATTTTTATCCTTAAAGAATTATTTTAGTAACTAATATCTTTTGTGATAAACATTTATCTGAAGTTCAGCAATTACTCAATTTCAGTTTTTGATTTGTTAACTTCAAGTAAAATTACATTTAATACCTAGGAAAAAAAATACCACATTGCCTTTCTATTGCTGCTGTAACAAATTATGATGAATGTAGCAGCTTACACAACATGTTTATTATCTTACAGTTCTAGAGGTTAGTCCAAAATGGGTTGAACTGGGCTCAAATCAAGGTATTAGCTGGGCTGCATTCCCTCTGGAGGCATTACAAACCTTCCTTTTCCACATTCTAGAGGCTGCCTGCCATCCTTTGCTTATTGTCCCCACCCCACCTCCAGTTTCTCCATTTTCAAATCCACCAATGTCAGGACAAGTCCTAATACTGTTATCCCTGTTGTTTTTTTTCTCTTCTGCCCTCTCTCTTCCACTTTCAAGTAACTTTGTAATTATACTGAGCCCACTCAGATAATCCAGGAAAATCTCCCTACTTAAAAAAATGTTTTTAATGTTTATTTACTCTTGAGAGAGAGAGAGAGAGAGAGAGAGAGAGAAACAAAATGCAAGTGGGGTAGGGGCAGAGAGAGAGGGAGACACAGAATCTGAAGTAGGCTCCAGGCTCTGAGCTGTCAGCACAGAGCCTGACATGGGGCTCAAACCCATGAACTGTGAGATCGTGACCTGAGCCGAACTCAGAGCTCAACTGACTGAGTCACCTGGGAGCCCTGATAATCTCCCTATTTTAATGTCATCAGATTAGCAATTTTAATTTTCCTTTGCCATGTAAAGTAGCATCTTAAAAAATTCCAGGGGAGGAGCCAAGATGGCAGAACATCATGGAAGTTTTTTTGTGTCTGTGTTCATGAAATATAGCCAGATCAACACTAAACCATCCTGCACACCTAGAAAACTTATCTGAGGATTAACACAACAATCTGCACAACCTGAACCCCAGAACTCAGCAGGTATGAGGCATGGAGAGGTGAACTGGGGGAGAGAGAAGCAGTGGAGAGCAGGGAGCTATTTTTACTTGCGGAGAGAGGGCGGAGATGGGGGTGGGGGTGGGGGAGAATATGGGAAAAGCACTCCCCGCCAAAAGCAGCTGGAGAGAAAGTAGAAAGCGGAAACAGCCACAGGGACTGAACTAAAAAGGGAGAAAGGATTTAAATTCCATTAAGACTCTATAAACAGGGGGAGTGCAGAGTCTGAAATGCAGCAGCTTGATACTTGGCGGTGCTATGGTGGGAAGGGCAAATCCCAAGGAGCAGAGTGAAATCTGGGGGTCGTCAGGTCACATGGGAGAGGCGGTTCCCCTGCTGGAAGGACAACTGGTAGAGGCTCCCCCAAAGGCAAGGCCCCAGTGGACCTGGGAGAACAACCACATTTGCTGGTGCTGGAACAAGGTTGTTAAGGGTGAAGCCTGGTGTCAGATGTGTGTTGTGATCTGCCGTAATCCCTGAAATGCTACTGCTACACTAACTCGTGAACTTTTTCTGGGGCGGGCTGGCACCCAGCCGCAGTCTCTGGGCATCAGCAGCAGCACGATCTCATGAACTTTCCTGGGTGGGGCCAACACTGGCCACTGCTCAGTGAGACCCTCCTGCAGAGGGGCAAAATGGATCAAAGCCACCGTTCCTCAGAAGTAAGGGGTTGGGAAACAGCCGCATCTCAGATAAAACTCAAGAGGCAGATGCTGCCTGGGGCTTGGTCACAGACAGTGTAATGTGGGGAGAGTATGG